TAGGCTGGGTTCAGACACACACACACACACAGATCTCTATCTATCTATCTATCTATCTATCTATCTATCTATCTATCTATCTATCTATCTATCATCTATCTAATCATCTCTATCATCTATCATCTATCTATCATCTATCTATCTATCTATCTATCTATCTATCTATCTATCTATCTAATCATCTCTATCATCTATCATCTATCTATCATCTATCTATCATCTATTTATCTCCATGCTTTTTGGGGGAAACAATACTTATGTCAAGTTATTCACCGCTGTCTTCCTTTGGGATAGTTTTCTAATGTCCCAGTCTCTACCTGACAGCTGGGGGATATCCTGGTGGTCTCCTTTTCAAATATTAATCAGGCCCAAATTTGCTTAGTGTTTCAGGATCCTACAGGCTCAGCTACCTGCTGCCACTCGACTGGACATAAACTAGACATAACGAAGTTTAACAGAAGAACAATGAAAAACACCAAATACCAGCCTGGACCATTGTAAAATTACTCATTGCTACCTTATTGTGCAGGAAGGATAAAAATGGACGAAACATACCCTTGAATTGCATAGAGAAGAGGTTACCTTTCTTGCTCTTAAACAATTTCAGAAGAATGTGCGCCTCCTCCTGGATCCGGTTCTCCAGGGCCTTCCTTCCCACACCCAGATTTCGCAGCGTCATCATGACGAAGCGCTTCTGCTGTTTCCAGTTATGTCCAGTGGTCATAAAAACACCTGCAGCAAAAGGTTGGATCACCTTACCCTTTGTTTCAACTATAATTAACTATGGTTGTTATAATCATGATCTGTTGGAGAAACTACAGTGGTTGGATTCACATATTATGTTAAGCCATGAACCATATTTTAGTGGCTGGAGATCGTAATGCCATATATTAAGATAAAAATTAAACAAATCACATTATGGCTTAGCCTAGTGTCTGTGCAATTCTAGGGACAACTTCTTTAGACCACAGCCAATAATGAGGTTAGTTAGAGCTGTGAACCCAGTTATCACGGTCTGTAACCCTGATTTTGTAGCTCAGTATGTTTTAGTCTCATCAATAAAATAAAATTAAAGTATGTCAGACAAAGTTTTTTAAGGCTGCTGGGCACTATTATAGTGCAGTTATAATGAGTTAAATAATTTGTATACCGTAAAGTTTGAAAGGCCTTCACAACAGCCTGTATGGACACCAGTCCTTTAACTAAGTCAGGTAAAATTTTAGCAAATACAGTCACCCAGCAGACTAAATTTAATGTTAACTTGGATTAGTTTTTGTTGTACCTCATCGTGTGGTATGAGTTCCCAGCCTCTGTGATTAATTTATAATTCAATGTATTGTCAGGACACAGAAAACAATTCAAGAACCAGGGTAAGTGTATTGCATGCGTGTAACCTCTGGGTTCAGATGGTAGCTTCTGATCTCCCTGGCTTTTCATTCAACAATTGTTATGCAGCCCATATTTGGACTGTGCCATGTATGCTGGGAGAGCAAAATCCCCGAATCAGTATTTCTCAACTTTAGCAACTTTAAGATATGTGGACTTCAGCTCCCAGAATTCCCCAGCCAGCATGCTGAAGTCCTGGGAGCTGAAGTCCACATATCTTAAAGTTGCTAAGGTTGAGAAACACTGCCCTAGATTATCAGTTTGGATTGCCAGTGATCAGCAGGAGATCTCTTCTGGAAATCTATTCTTGGCAAAAAGAGTGGGTTTGGAAACTCTTTTATCATTAGCTTCATGCATCCAGATCTTGTTATGACTGTCTGTTGGGCTCAGATGTGAGTCTCCTTTGTTCTTCTAGTAAAAGAGGCAATAAGAGACATTTCTGTATTCCACGTATGGCATCCAGACCTGTGACATTTAATGTCTGTACTCTTAGAAACTTAATATCTTGGGTTTCTTTGCTCTATCTGAAATTCTAATCCGTTTCCCTCTTTTAATCTTTATGTAGTCCACATAATTTTCAAAGCTTTCTTCCAACCACAAAAATGTTTCAGGCAGGGCAGAGAAGGGTCAGGAGTCAAGCAATCCATAATCTGGTTCACTCATCACCCCAAGTCCTGGTTTAACCAAGGCTTATTGAATAAACCACTGTTTTATATACACTGTGTGTGCCACCTAGAATCGTTTGATTGAGGCAGGGTAGAAATCTTTTGAATAAATGAAAGTTTGATTTTGTTTATTTTTTGCAAGATGGATTTCTGTCCCAAAAAGAAAACAGGATTGGAACCATTAGTCACACACCTTTATATTCTCAGACCTGAATAATTATAGCTGGCATCATGTGCAACTTTATGTTCTTGATTTTTTTTTTACATCACTTGTGTCAATTTATGTAATTTGCATAAACATGTCAATTACATACTAGCACAAAATATGCAAATCACAGACTACTTTGAAAACAATGCACTTTTTCTGTTATTTGGGGGTAAAGTCCAATGCATCACCTTGCATCTGAAGTCTGCTGAGCAGACAAAGTTTGCATACGTTGTATGAAGTTTCATACAAAGTGCTAAACTTGCTTTTCTTAAAAAAAAAAAAAAAA